CTTTTCCAGGTAGGAATTACATTTCATAAATATACTTACTAATAAGCAATCATGTTAAATTTTTAAGGCTGTGAAGGATTTAGCTGAAAATTGTGCTCTTAAGAAAATAGTCTTAGACTATGAAAAGGCTGTTTGGAAAACTTTACAAAATATATGGCCTGATGCTGTCTTGACTGGATGTTCATTTCACTGGTCTCAGGTAATATTTAGAAAAATTCAGGTTTATTAATTTCTAAAATTTTTAACAATCCAATTAATATTTGTTTTGTTTAAGGAACTCGGTTATAGCAGGGAATTTAGAAAAAAACAGGGAGCTTGGGAATCCATGAGAATGATTATGTCTTTGCCATATTTGCCTCATGGTATGATTGAAAATCAATTCACTAAAATTCAAAATCAACTGACAAAAGGAAATAAAATGGCTGATTTGTTGGACTATGTGTCTAATACTTGGATAAAAAATACATTTTGGTCTCCAGAGACTTGGTCTGTTTTTGATCAAAGCATAAGGACAAATAATGATCTGGAAGGTTATCATCAAAGGCTGAATAAAATTGTTGGAGAAAATGTTTCTTTTTATTTAGTGATTGATAAGTTAAAGAGGGAAGCAGACATGATAAATCTGTACAAAAAGCTTTTAAGTGAGAGAAAGATAATTAGACTTCAAAGGAAGACTTATAGCAAAAAGATCTTTTCTTAATTTGGGAAAATTTTAAAACAGGTGAAATTAATGCAAACCAGCTTCTGCAGCTTTCCTCAGAATTATATTATTGAAAATAATAGTTTGTCTTTGTTTTAAAGTTGTTTACAAATAATCAATACACAATTTATATGGTAAACCTAAAGTTGCATATATAAAAAGTTTTCTATTAACTTGTTTTTCAATATAGATTTACATTTAAATGAAATTTATTTTTATTTATGTTTTCTTTTAGTTCATGGATATTTACTTTTAGTTTATAGACATTTTCTTTTACTGTATGGATGTTTTCTTTCACTTTATGGACGTTTTCTTTCGCTCCATAAGGAAATATAATTCCTAAAAAATTAAGCTAATAGGAAAAGTTAAGTGATTTTTTTTGTGAATATTTCATTTATTAAGTATATGTTTAACATATTCTTTTACCAAAGGTTTACTTTTTCAACATATATTTATATTTAAATGAAATTTATTTTAATGGACATTTTCTTTCATGGATGTTTTCTGTCGACCCCTTTTAAAGCTTATCCTGGAACATCAATTAAACTGGCCTTTACTGACTTATTTTTGCCTACATTATAAAATGTAGTCCTCTGCAGGCCCAACCTAACTCAAACTTGTTAAAACTGAGATTTTAATAAAACTTTTTAATGACATGACTAGCAATTAAGAGTGACAGTTAAATATAAAAATGGCTGATATGCAGCCATTTAACAAATTTCAAAGCTTTATCTTTTAGAATTTGCCCCATGAAGTATAAATGTTTTGTTAGCATGTTTTATGATATTCCACAAATGAGAAAGTCAATTACAAACTTCATAGAAACCCTCTCCCATATTTGAATTATAATATCTTGGTGATTATTCAATAAATAGTTTATGAATTAAACTAAGAAGTACTGTTAGTCTAATGTTAACATTTGTATACCTTAATAGAGAATATTAGATGGCAAATATTCAATTCTTTTGATAAAGATCAAAAGGAATATGGATATCATTGCAGTATTGCTGTCAAATTGGATATTTTCTAAATCCATTCAAAAAGGAAATATTCTCTATGGAATGAGAACTAAGTATGTAAAGTAACTTTGAACTCTTTATAAATGTACATTTATTTTAGGTTAAAAATGCCATTAAGGCATTAACAACTCATTTTTCATTTATTGTTACTTTTTAAGTAATTAGAGAATGATGTCAGTGACTTTAACTATTTATAAAAAAGAAATAATCAAGTTTTTTGAATCATACTTAATAAAAGCATTACCTTGACATGAACTACCCAACTGAAAATTTTACTTCTTTACCTTTACATTTTAACATTGAATATAGAACATGGGAAGTGTTTATTCTGTCAGGAACAGCTTGCTTACTTTTCATAGCAGGAACAATTTTAAATAGTCTTGTGTTGTTTTCTTATGGAAGATTTAAAAATGTTAGGGAGACAGTTGTAATATTTATACCTGCAGGAGCATCATGTGATTTAACATTAGTAATATGGCAATCCATAGGAATAATTTTTAGACAAGTATCGAATACTGATCATTTATACCCATTTCTTTGTGTGATTATAAATTTGACTGATGTAATAATTTATACTGAAGCTCAGTATTTCCTTTTTTCTGTTTTCATCTATAGATATACAGTTGTAAAATATCCATTTCACTATCGAAGATATTTTACTCGTAGAAGAGTAATATTCATTATGCTATGTGTTTTTCTATTACCAGTTATCATCTGCCTATTTCCATATTATATATCATTCATAACAAAGGTTAAAGATACTGTTTGCCAAGGATATATGGTTGTTGGATATCAATATTATTTTTTCTATGTTGCACTACTTTCACCAGTTGTTTCTGGAGCTTTATTATTACATATTAAAACTGTTAAAATTGCTAAATTACATGCCATTAATTTAAAATTACAAACACATCAAATTCAAAATACTTCAAAATCTTCTAAAGCAACTCTACTACAATTAAGCTTGATGATCTTCCTATGGACAATCTTAACAATTATCAAATGTACCACAATGATTAGTTCTAGCAAACTATTAATAAAACTAGCAAGTCTGGCAGATTATTTGACCTTACTGCAAGCTACAAATAATCCAATTATAACTATTCTTGGTAATACAAGCATAAAATTGTCATTAAAGAAGCTAATGAAATCTAGACATATTATCTCACCTTCAGAACAATAATAAACAAAACCATAGAGTCTTACTTTGGAGCTGAGTTCTATTGTCTTCAAATCTGACTCCAATATTGTTCACGTGATCATTAATATTCTTATCTCTTATATCTCATCATTAACTATTTGGAGACAGGCAGAAAGAAAATAAAATTTCTAAAGGTCAGAACCTTAAATAGAAACAGTTGGAAAGTTGTCAGAACTCTGATGTTTTATGTAAAGTGATAAACATATTTTAATATGTGACATGATACCAACAAATTCACTCTTAGATTAGATTTTAACTGATTAAAGTAGAAGCTTTCTTGCAGAAATGATTTCTACAATGTGAACAGGAAAAATCAAGTAAAGTAACAAATTTTCAGTCAAAGTAATGGATTGGCAGAGAGGAAGAATGTATAGAGAGTACTCTTATTGTATTGCTATTGTAAGTAATATTGGCTTGTCACAAAGTCCTCACGGAAATAGATCCTTTAAATTTTTTCTATAAATATTCTCAATAAATGAAATTTTATAATCAACAGAAAATCTCCTCAACAGAAAAAACTTGCACAAAAGCACAGGAAACACAGGAATTCTAACAAAAATAGCAATAAAAATATAATTGACTTGTGTATATTAGACAGGGTTTCACCTAATTGTAAGAATAACCCTACCAAACTGTATGTTAGGCAGAGGTTCAATCCAAGGGTTAGATGAGAGTACCTTTAATCCACTAAGTAATGGAATAACATCCTGGAGGAATGCACTCTCACTAAGACCTTCATGGAGTGGGTTAGGTCGATATGCAAGAATAGTTATCTAGAACAACTCATTCCTAGTCTTTTCCCCTTCTTGTACCTTTCTCTGTAAGGGATGTCAACTTCTCCAGAGGAATATCTGGATGGTTGACTGCAATTAAAACACTCTCTTACTTCTAAAGGTGATGTTTCGGGGAGTGTTCCCCTTTTGTCAGGCTAAACAGGGAAATACTCAGGAACAGCCTTCTCCACTGAATAAGCCCCACGATTCGGTAAACAGTCTAAGAATAAGGTCTATTAGAGTTTGCAGCTCTTTAACTAACTATAAAAGGCCTCTTAGCTATTTTTTAACAGTAACAGCCTGACTGAAATTCATTTCTTAGAAGCCCAAAAGTAATTTTTCTATCAGAAGACTTGACATCATTATTACAAACACTTTTCAATTATTTCCTAGCTTTTCCTTTATCTAGAAGCAAAAATCAAGTATTTGCTGTACAGACTTGTTTTTTCAACAGAATTGAATCATAAGAGAGGCTATTGAAAAAGTGCTATTTTGCCGATTTGGGAAGTTCAATCTTGCAATCCTTTGCAGTAGGCAGCAGCACTATATTTTAAGCTTCAAATGCACTTAAAGCCAGATGGTAGGAAATCATAAAACATACCACTTTGCAGGTTAAAATTTCATTAGTAGTGTCCACAACCTGCACAAAATTCTCAAATAATACAAATAGTTCTGGTAAAACATGTGCGTATCCAACAACCATCAGATAGTCGATTTTCAAATAATGCAGACTTCCAACTTTTACGATCAAGACTCATTACACTTATTTGTGAATTTGATTTCAATTTATCAAAGAGAGCTGTTGAATTCCCTCTCCTATATAAGCATAGAACTTTTTCACACATGTAATAATCCAGTAGAATAATCATTGTAAATTTAGTTTTACAGGAAATAAACCAACATAAATGAGAAGAAATAATGCAATTAATGAATATAAAATTTGTTGGATCATTTTTTTCCAAGCCATGCAATAGATCACAATCAATTTCCATAGTATTTAATGTTTAAATTTTGTAAGCATTTCTGACCTCCCAAAAATTTGAAAAGTCTTCAAATTGAATTTATTCGTCTTTCTAAAAATATTTGGAGTATGGAAAATTCATTTGTTTCTTGTTTTGTATATATTCAAAATGAGACATTTGGTAGATTTTACTGAATTATAGAAAACAGAATAGAATGTTGGATTTTTTTTCATTTTTTATATACCACAAGTCATAGACAATTTTGTGTTTAGTGCGTGATAATGACATAAATGTGTACACTACAGTTCAACTTTGATATATTTATCCAAAATGAACATAGTTTTTCCATCTTCATAGTCCAAAAATTTTTCATTGCAAGGTGGAACTTCTTTCCTAAATTCCTCAACGAAATCTGTTGCTTGTGGAATATTTTGATGCATTTCTAGATATATCTTGCTGAACATTTTAGGATCCAGATTATTTTTGTATTTATTAATCACTTTGCTCATAACTTGGCTCATGTGACGAAAAGTAATGCCTACAAGTTTCTTTATTTTCATTTTATCCATTGTATTGAGACAAGCAAGTGTATATTTTAGGTAGACATCTTCTGTCAGGCGAAGAATCAATAAATTCATGATAGAGTTTAGCTATTGCTCTAACATTTCCAGATGGTTGATTTTCAAAAAACTCTCTCACACATTCCACCGCGACATCAAGATCAGTTTTATCCAACTTTTGGATTAGATTGTCAACTATTGTATCTGCTTGATAACTTTCTCTAATCCACTTTGATATCATTTCATTATCAATTTTAAGTGTTTCAAAACATTTTGGGATAGATCTTACATTGAACATTCTCTGAAGAAAATTACACTCACCAGAACCTGTTACAAATGTGAAAGATTTAAATAAATCTGTAATGTATATTCAAAGTGTCACAGACATTTATTGTCCAATGATTGAAACGATTTGAAAATTGGAGCCTCTAAAGGCTCCACATTTCAATAGCTTTTCTCTCAAGCAGAACCATAAGTCACAATCTTCAAACCACTCTATTTTTCACAGTCTTTTAATTTATATTGGCAATCTAAATGATGTTTTTGTTTTATATTTCTTTGCAAGAAACAATTCGAATTTGGAGTTTAAAAAAAAAGAAGAAGCTCAACAATAAAAACAACATACCTTTTTGACAGAAATCTGCAATAAATCGTATCTTGTCGCTTTCATTTTCAAGGCAAAAGGGCTTCATTTTCAGACATTCCATAAACTTTTTATAATTTCCTCAAAGCTTTTCAGCATTAAACGTGTTCATTTCTTCCGTCATTGAACGATTTTCCAAAACTGCACCACATTGTAAACAATCAATAACCCCCTTTTTCACCAAAATTTTATCGGAAAAGTCTATGATACAAAGATTGCCATTGCCCATTGTTGATTGAAGTGAAGTCATAGACAAGAGTAGAAAGGATAATCACAAAACTTTAGCAGACATTATATTTCCAGTCTTTTATTTTAATAATGGGAAAAAAATTATTGATTGTACTACCAAACATGGCTGCTCTAGAGCAAGAAGACGGATTATGACTTTGATCTCCAGGTTACTAACCGGTATTCTTTCTTGCCTCATAAAACAAGGAAATTATATGACAACAATTTCATTCAGTGTATTGAATGTTTTGACAGGAGTAAATACCCTTTAAGTATTTTAAAGCTTGTTTTGAGTTTAATATGAATCTAACCTTCTTCTATTCTCCTGTTCAATATTGATTAAAATTAGGTGAGGGAGAAAATGTTCTAATATTTGTGTTTTACTCCTAACCCATTGGTCAGTGAACTTGTAACCATTTTGATTATCCTAACCTTCAGTGTGTAGCCCTACTCAATATCCATAACCTTAAAAGAGCATTTAAGCTAACCCAAAACTTTACCCTGTTAGGACATTTTCTCCTACAATTACAATACAAGAAAGTTCATTTCTAAAGAATGTAATACAAAAAAAGAGAAATATTTATGAGAAGCTGAGTTTCTACCAAAATAACTTGAATAATAGCACTATTATTAAAGTAACAGATGGCGCTAGTAGTCTCCCACTACTTTTATCATAAGGAGCATTAAGATAAAGCTAGATTGGGATTAGGGTATTCTGATTTATGCCTTCTCAATTTGTTTGTTTACTTTGTTGTTGTATATACTTTGACAACTAAACAACTATGAATACAAACAACCTAGCTGATTGATTCTCTTTTTCAATTGTGCATAATGATGCTAGCTTTTGTATTTTCCTCACTCCTTTTCTATCTTTCAAAGCACACAACTGATCCATTGTTATTAAACTTTTCAAGTATCTATAGCTATTCAATATTCGTTCAAGCGATAAATAATCCAGTTATGGCTATTATAGTTAATTCGGTTGATGAAAGTGTCTTTAAAGAACGCGGCGAAATTGAGAAAAAGACACATTTCACCTATTGTAGAATAGACAACTAAGCTGTGTTTTAAGCATTGTACCAATAACTCATTTATTGAAATTTCTTCTTTTAGTATTTACTTTAATTGTAAACATTGTTAGAAAAATTGAATATGAGAATAAGAATGGTGAACCCTAATCCAGGTGTTCCATTTCACACAACCACATCAACTACTGCTTACTATTACAATTACATACGTACAAGAGAGTTGGACACATTGTAAATTCTGTAAAATCTCCTTTAGATTGTAATTGGTCATATCCAAATTGGATAGGTTGAAGGAAATTGTTTTCCTTGTTGGATATCTTTTATCATTCATCACCTCTTTCATTTGGGATAGAAATTTTGTATTAAATATTGAAAAGTTGGCGTAATCTTCTCCAAATATAAACCGGAAGTGGGAATTGTGGCATGAAAATTGTATAGAAATTGTATTCATTTTTTCGTAAAATATCGAAATTTTTTGAATGGCTTGAATTTTTGTTTTCACAAAACATAGCAGTAATTTACAATAGTTTGAAATTATTCGTAACCAACACTTTCAACTGTTGGCAACACTTTGAAGTGATCTTTTGTAAATAATAATCTTCAACAGCCGACAGCCAATATTTTAACAAAATAAACAACAGATGTATCCAAGATGAAGAGTTCTTGATTAAATTTCTTTGGTAATAGAATATAACAAATGAGTATTCGGAGAGGATGACTGCAAAATCTGTAAAGTTGTTTTGCTGTTGAAATCCAATTATAGAATTTCTCTTCATATTTCACAATTTGTCTTGGTGTAAAATTGGGTTTTAAAAAATTACTCAAAAATCTTAAAATTGCTTTTGGAGAAATACCGTTAATACGAAAAATTGAATTTAACGAATTATTTAAACGATGAAGATTTCTAACCCAAATTAATTTTGGATGATTTCCTATTTCTGATTTATTGAACCAATCGTTCAAGATAGAATTAGGATTTTGAAAATAATCATCACCGTCATCAATGAAGAAAATCACCCTTTTTTGTGTATTTTTCAAAAATGACTCTATTGAAGAAGATAGAGTTTTATCCTTATTTGGATAATTGAAATCTATGATATCGTCTATAAATGATTTATTCTTATTGATTGCGTAAAAGGGAACTTTCAATACTAAAATATCTTGTAAGATTGATTTTTTAACGGACCATAGATAGATCAGTCTGTTTAGGTGGGTTGTCTTACCTTTCTGAGCTGATCCAATGATGCATGTAGTGTGGTTTGTTCTAAACACAGTGTCAAAACTTTGAATGTTGCATAATTCGTTTGGGCAGTTGGCGTTTGATTGAGGATAGAGTTCGCTCAACAGCAATGGCATTTAAAACGAATCGAACGATGAGCATATTGGTACATCACCCACATCGATAACTGGTAGAAAGTTGATTTGGCTGAGTTGAATTTTATGAAATTCTTGTATCGTTTCTAAAAGACTATCGTTTCTAGTCAGATTTTGTTGGTGGTTCAAGATAACGCGAGAATTGCCGAGAAAGATATCTTTACGAGTATCAAAAATCCATGGAGAAAGTTTCATATTCCAATAACTTTCCTCTTTCGCCTTCACCTTTTCAATAGTTCTACACTTAATCTCTATTTCTTGATTTGCGTCCGCTTTTACTACCAGTTTTCGTAGATATAGGCATTTCGCCAACAAGTGAATAAATTGATTCTTTCCGGCAGTGTCTAAATGTTGGAAAGAAATTTGGATAGCTTTCAAATTCAGAACTGAACTTTCAAGTCGCTTGAATATTTCACTTGTAATTCCCGAGTAACGATGATCCAATTCTCTGGAGAAACTTGGATTAATCTCTTCCAAATATTCGCATTTGTAGAGTAGTTTCGCCAACGCTACTCCATTTTCTTGATCAATCATACAGTTTGAAAAGTTTAATATTTTAATGGTATGAGAACAATTCTCCAAAGATTCGGATATCATTTCAAGGCATTTGTGCAAATCTTCATTGTCAGCAATGTTAATTTCCGTTAAATTCATGCACTCGTTAAATAATTTCGCCAAATCTTGTCCATTTTTTTATTGTTAAATTACAAGAATCAATTTTCAGTATCTTTAAACTTGAATAAGAGAGATGCAACGAATGGAAAATATTTGCAATTTTTCCACCAAGTTGCCTATTTTCGCTCAAATCCAGATGAGTCAAGTATTTACAGTACATGAATAGACCATTCAAGAGTTTTATATCATCTTGATTGAGGTTACAAGATCTGAGTTTAAGCACTGATAGGAAGATAGATGATGATTTTAAACCTTTAATTACCTCTCTGCTATACTTTTCGTTATAGCTAAAGTTTGCAACATTCTTTCAATAATTTCGCAATACTGTTTGTTCTCCTATCCAATTCTAATGAACAATTTGAAAATATCAACTTTTTTAACGATCTACAAGAAGCTTTTAACGATCTACAAGAAGCTTTTAACGATGAGAATATTAACTCGGAAGTTGATTTTAAAATTCTATTTCCGGTTAGATTGACTTCCGTTAAATTGTTACAATGTTCAAATAGGTTTGATAATTTTTCCAAGCTAGTTTCGGTTAGGTGACAATCAATCAATTTGACAATACTCAACGCGCTATTGGCTAAATTCAAACTATTGCATAAGGAGGAAAACTTTCCTCCAGGATCGGTGTTATAGGATAAATCCAATTCATTTAGATTTGTGGAGATTGCTAGTAGTTTGTCTAAAATGTTGAAATGTTGAAAATTCAACAGACACTTCGATAGATTTATACTTTTAAATTTTGAATGATTTTGAATATAGAAATGTTCCAAAATATGAACAATTTCGTCGTTCAGACAAACATTTTCGGACAGATGTAACGATTTGAGGTTTGTAAAAGTTTTACAAATTTCGGTGAGTGCAACACAATCGCTCTTCTTCAGTGGACAATTCTCAATTGATAAATGTTCAATAGTTTTATTTACAGTTTGAAAACCAAACCATTGTTCAGTGAATCCTTTTCCAATCAATTTTACATTTGTCATTTTGAACGATTTCAACCGTTTCAAATAAGGTAAGTACTCATTCAACTTTTTGCAGGTGATCTCTTCCAGAATGATATCTTGAAAGTGTATAATTTGCAGTTTGTTGCTTTCCCTAGTAAACACATCTTTTAAACATTCCACAACGGATTCCATATTAAAGCTCCTTAAAGTCATATCTTCGATATACGAACGTCTTTGAATATATTTGAGCATAACCTTGGAATGATTTGAATTTTCGTGATAATCTTCCAAAAGGGCTTTTTTAAAGATGACTCGCTTGGAAAGATTTCCCCATACCGAATTGTCCTTCAACTCCAATACTTTGCAAATTAGTGTCAAAGATTTTATAAAATTCCAAATAAGTTATTTCTTCTAACCCTGGCGTAATTTCAAAATTTGCTCCACAATCAACAGTTTCACTACTCATAACACCTTTTTACAATGCAAAGGACAGGAATTATATTCAATTTGATGTATTTTTAGAAAAATTTTCTGAATATAGTACTTCTCCTCTAATGTTCTTAGTTGAGCATGATGATGAAATATTTGGTGCTGGTGCTTATGAAGGTCGTGATAAAACTTCAAAAGATCCCTACTGGAAAAAGATTTGTCTGCCAATGAAATTGTATAATATCCAGAAATTTAGAGTAATAAATTAATTTTTTTTAAATTCTAATCATTTTCCATATTTTGCTTGTTTTTTTTTCCAGCTAATATTTAAATATGTTAGAGGATATGATGAAAGAATTAATGTTGGTATTGACAATATAACTGTAGTGAGCAACTGCAATTATGATATTAGTTTGTCAGAATATAATTCAAACCCTACTTGTACAGTATTATTGACAATATAGAAAATATTTCTGCTTCTTAATTAGAATTAATTTAATTTACTATTAGTTTATCAACATAATGATTGGAGGGCTGTTGTAAAGACTCAAGATACAACTCCATTTACATTTGTGAGATATTCTTGTAAGTATTTTCTTGAGCTGCAAACATTCCTATAGGCATTATTTTCTAGTCATAAATCACTTCACACCACACACACACTATGTCTCTTAAACATTGCTCTCTGAAGCTCACTTCAGAACCAAAATATATTATTATTCTTTTAAAAAATACTCTACAGAAATATTATTTTTTATATTAATCTTTACAGCGGAAGTTATTGGAGTTGGCGGTGTATATCTAACAAAAATACCTTTTCCAACAACAATTACCTCATTCAGAGCTGCAATATATGAAACAGAAAAAAATTGTATAAGTTTCAAAGTAATAATAAGAACATTGGATGGACAATCTAATGCAATATCACCAGATATAGATCTATACATTAGGGGAAAAAAGCAAGTTTTTAGGTAAGCAGAAATTTACAAGGAGAATTGGACTTTATTTCCTAATCATTTGAAAAAGGTTTTATTTATTCTTTCAAAATTATGTTTTTCTTTGTTATAGAAATCCTTATGTACAAATTAGAATTAGGACTCAATGTAGAAAGGAAATAATAAAGCACTATACTAATGTTGATGTTCCTTTCTATTATGTCCAACTGATTGCAAGTGTAAAACAAATAGGCCATGTAAAATTATTGAAACTATATGATTTTCATATGTCTACATATTCTAAATGTCCAGTTGAGTCAGGTATTTTACATATTTAGAAACTATACAAATAACTTTAAATACAGAGAATTTTGTTTAGTTAAATCCAGTCCACCACTTATTGGCCTAAATCATCCATCTTGTGGTAAGACGGACAACACTGAAATCATTTGGGAGAAGGATAATATAACACTTACTAATAATTTCCCTTGGCTTGTTTGTATCATAGATATCAAACCAGTTTATTTGACTTAAAAATTCTTCAAAATATAGGTAACAATTTCAGTTTCTTATAACCGTTGTGCAGGAATACTGATTCATGAGAGATTTGTTCTTTCATCTGCTACATGTGTGAAAAAATTTCGGTAAGTATGTTTATTTTTTTTTTGCTTGGACAGTTGATCCTATTTTGAGGCTGTTTATTAATTTTGGATATGGCAAAGAAAACTATAAAGGGTTTTATGCCACTTGTCTGGGGGTTATGCATAGGATTACAAAGCTATCCATACCAATAATTTTAACATTATTACATAAAACCCTACAGCTGTCCTTCCAAAATAAGAAAATTTTGTATTTTTTCTACTAATGTTTTTTAGCCAAAAGGAATTGAAAGTATTTTATGGTCCAGAAAGGAGTAGTGGGAAAAGCATTGGTATTGTGATAAAAACATCTATTCATCCAAAATATGAGAAAAATCCTGCAGATTATGATATTGCATTACTGAAATTGGAAATAAGACATTATAGTACAAGTAAACTTAGGACAGCATGCATCTCTGAAACATCATATAATTACACTAACCAAAACTTAAAAGGATGTACACTTTCTGGATTTGCAAACGGTATACAACAAACAAATTTTTTACTAGCTTATTCCTCCACTTACACATAAAACCCTAAATTTCCCACAGCTTATGGAGAGAATCTTTATATGCTTTTCCCAAAGAAAATGGAAATTGTCAATCCAAACAATTGTAGTCCTGCACTTAAGATTAAACCTCCAAACACTTTATGTGGTGAAGGCGTTTTGAGCAAGAATGACGTGTATTGCAAGGTTTTTTGATAGCTATGGGTAAATAGAATAAACTTTTTTTTTCTCTAAAAGCAAACTGCTGGTACTCCGCTAAACTGTAATATCAATTCAAGACCAACTGTTACTGCTTTTACCTCCTCTCCTGAAAATTGTAAAGCTGAGAACACGGCTCTTACACAGATTGGACCTAATTTTCAATGGATAAAAGAGACTGTAGAAAGAGATCAGCACTGTGTAGACTGAGGTAAAAATTACTTTTCTATAGTGTTCTTATTTGACCCAAACATATTCACTAGGGTTTAAGCACCTGAAGGACCATAACTTTGCTAAACTTTCTTGTAAACTAACATAGTTTGTGCTAAAGCTCATTATCTGTTAGGAAAAGTATATACTTTAAATTCTGTGAAATTAACAGCGAACAGATCAGTTTTGATATATTATACTAAATCTTTGGTTTGCTTGCAACCTAGTAGTGGCTCCTTCATATTTGTATTTCACACAAATTGAATAAAATTCATTCTATTCTAAATAGTTGTCGACAAAATTTGATGTTCCATTATGAAACAGTCCAACCTCTTTAGGGGACTGTTTGTCGCTGATATCCAATCATCTGTTTGCATTTGGTGAATAGTCTAGTTGGCGTTTATCTTCAGTAACAGGATGTCACAAAGTCTAATAGTCTATAATCTAAAGATTCACAAAATTTCTGCTTGGTGTATTCCATATGACTTGGCATCAAAACAGAAAGAATACAAGGTAGAGACTTGTCACGGCCTCATTTCAAGATTTAAAAATGAGGGAAAAGCCTTTTTCCAGAAAATTGCGAAAGGCGATGAGACCTTGGTCTATCACTTTGATCATAAAATTAGGAGGAAATCCATACAGTATGATCATATTGATAAAAAGTTAAACTGTCCCCTACGTTGAATAAATTATTAGCAATCGTTATCTTTGACCCAGGAACAGAATAAGATAGGTGAGATATGAAAAAGAAGTTATTTTGCAGATAGACAATGCAAAATGTCAAACTGATGCACTTCTACCACAAATTAAATTCAAAGTAGTGCACACCTACATAGCTTGTAGGGTACTTAGTACATCCGCTAGAATGAAACCTAATGGTAGAGTACTGGTCCAAATAGAACCTAAGTAAGAATGGCCACTTGGAAAAATTAATAGTTTTAAATGTCATGAAGATGATAAGGATTTTGGTATTACAAATTCAGGAATTTTCTTTTTAAGGAAAAAAGGGAAGTGTTATTTATAAGACGAATACTGACTCCTGTGAAAGAAAAGTTTTCCCATTGGAAAGTGGTATAGAGGATGAGGATGATGTGGAAAATGAAACTTCTGTTGAATCATTTTCAGTCACTGCCTCTCAAGCTTCGCCTGAAACCTAAATATTCTAGCATAGTGAAAGTGTTAGAGGAAGACTCCTGTTCTTTCTGGTTGGTAGCTGGTTTGGTATCTTGACTATCAGTGCTACAGATTGTCTAAAAAATAAATGAAATTAGAGATTAAACATGAATTTTTTTTTACAAGAATCCTGTGTGGATGTCACTTGTGTTGCTGATAAATCACAAAAACAGTTCTTTATGTGAGATTAATTGACTCTAAATTTCTTTCACTATTGCTATTTAGGGTTTATTTTCAAAGATTAGTGATTAGTCCTATAAAATGTAGGCCTACTCTTACACAAAAATATATCCTTATCTTTGTTACATAGTTCTGTTATAAGGTCTTCTTGAACTGTACTACTCTGTTTGAAAAGGCAATTTTTGAACATACAACTGAGAAAACCTTTGAAATTTCTGCAATATGAACTATGGTGTTTTTTAAAATTCATTGTAATAGTATTTTGATTGAAAATGTATCGACACTGATTTGTTGAATTAGCAGACAATCTTTTCATTTTCAATTAAATTTAAAAATATATCAACTTCTATTGGAATGTTTTGTATTTTTTTTAAATATTCCTCAGTCTGTTTAAAACAACTGCAAAGTAGAATTAAGCTGAAATATTTCATGTTAGTATTGTCTAAGAGACAGAGAGAGAGAGAGAGAGAAACTGAGGGGACAGACTAGGAGGACATCCCTTCCCTTCCCACCAATAACCTCCGTTATAGCCATAAACTGTGTACTAATATTTCAATAGAATTTGCTGTTGTAATGAAATTACCTAATGCAATACGACACAAATGCTTTTATTCAAAAATATTGAACAAATTCAAAAACTCACTATTCTTTTCAATCAGTTAATGTCTGTTTAGATTTTGAGCAATCGAATAGATGTAGTCCTATCAGAAGAATTCATTCTGTACAGTGTGAATAAAGTATTGTCTACTATTACTATTCAAATTAATATTTTATAATTTCATATATATTCCCATTTCTAACGAATCCTAATTTTCGTTTATAGAGATTGTCAAAATGAACTGAGAGCTATGTATAAGAGAAAAATAATTGAATATATTAAAAATTTTCCACAATATGCTAAAAAATTAATGAATTCGTTGAGACAATGAGAAAGTATACTGGTGAAAAATTGAGGCAATCAACAACTAGCTACTTGAACATAGCCTCTAAACTTTTCAGAGTGTAGATGCATTTTCCCATTCTTTTATCAGCCAAAAATGTATATTTAAATTGTTAATATTTGGCAGAATATTAAAGTGTTATGGGCATTGTTGTTTCAATTCTATTGTGAAGTGAATATTGTACTAGTTTGGAAATTAATCTATTTATCATGTTGAACTATTTAAATAATTAAAAAACTATCATTTCAATCATTCTCATAGTTTTTTCAGAAGGGATAAAAGTGAAATATGCAAACGATGATGTTTTCCCAATGTAACCCTGGAGACAGCATATGATTATACTATGTTAATAAGGAGATATTTTTGATATTTTGTATGCCAGTTGAACATCTGGTTTTTCTCAGTTTACAAGAATAAACCATTAACTTAAACTTTGGCATGGATTGTAAAAGAATTATATTTACGAGTTTGAGCATTCTTCTTCTTTTACCAATGATATGCAATTGCGACTTTAATTTAGTGACAGCATGTGAAATTAATGAGAGTGAAAGAATTCGTATTGGTGACACAGATATTCATGCTGATAATTGCTCAAATGATTTTAGAAAAAGATATGCATGTTACGATCCCAGTTATGGATGTTTTATATCAAAACAACAAGTTCCTGGCTTTACTGTGAAAACTGGTAGTTTAGGGGGTTTTGACATATCTTCAACAGCTTCATCAGACCCTTTGGCCAAAGATCCCAGAATATGTGCAAAATATTGCCTTGAACTGCCAAATTGTATGAGTTTTGTTTTGTCGAAAAATATACATTCAGGACGATACTGCTTTCTTAAGAATAAGCTAATAACACAATCTACAACACATACAAATTACCTCTCCTATAATAGATATGCTTTTCCAGATTCTACTTGTACAATTGGTTCTTGCACTACTGAGCCAAACACTCCAAGTGTCTCAACAAATCCAAGTTATAATACTTGCAAAGCAGCCTGCAATACTGACTCGTCCTGCAAATATTTTACAGTTGGTATGGATAAATGCCATTCTCAGTCTGATTGCCATAGAAATCCTAATGTTCTTAATAAGCTTTTATGCACAAAGTCTGTACCAGCACTCCATCCTCCATCATCTACTTGTGAGAAAAATATTGCTAATGCACTCAGTGACTTAAATAATTCAACTTGTATAGAATCAAAATCTTTACCATTCATGTCAAGGTATCCATTTCCAGGAGTAAATAAGCCACTTTCCCCAATTCTATTGAGTGTGTATGGAAAGAATTTGTCTTGTTCAAATGGAGAATTTAATAACTTATTGGTTTATATACCAATTGAAGAGCAATTTGAAATAAAATTTGAAGGTAAATTCAAAGTTTGCAAATTGTTATTTTCCAATTTGGAAACTTGCCAATATAGTTGCAATTGCAATGGGAGACACTGCGAAGGTGTATATATTGTAGCTTTTCTACAAAATTCTCAACTCTGTGAAATTTCTTTTGCATAAGTTTTTCTTATCAATAAAAAGCATATTTGTCAATCAGAGATGTTAAAAGTTCAATTTTGAGGGGCAAAATTAGGGTTCAAACACCCCCATCTTTGTGATGAAATTTATTGTATTAAAACTCATCTACGCTCTGAAAAGTTTAGAGGCTATGATCAAGTAGCTAGTGTTGTTAGAATAGTCCAAAAAGTAGTTGAAAAAATAGCAAGAATTAAAGATTTTTCTATTCCCTAATTTCTAAAAATTTACTCATCAATTACAACTGTCATACTCTCTCTTTCTCTCTTTCTCTCTCTCTCTCTGTCTGATCATCTTTTATTTCCTTAGAAATTTCTAATTTCATAGTATAAGTAATAGGTTTTTTGTATTTTATTCAAACTTTGTTAAAGTATCGAGTACTATGGCAACCTGAACTGTATTGCTCTTAGAATCCGAAATCTTCTACATTAAAATTATAAAATGAGACATATACTGGTATCCAACAGATAATAAATAACAATGTTACACCAAATAGCATAGATGCTGATTTGAGTTGAACTTTAGAATCAGGTAATTTGTTTAGTGATTGACTACCTAAAGGTGCTTTCATTCTTCTTGAAACAACTCGAAATATGCTAACATACAATACCATTGCTATGTTCAATGCCAATGATGATCCAGTGGTTGTTAAATAAGTTGTTATTTTTCTTATGTATATCTGGTGATCTTCATAAATATTCAAATGTTGTTTCTTTGTCGTCTGTTACTTTTATTATTGTGTAATTATTAGCAGATAAAGATCCAACTAGGAAACATTGAGATAGGTTGATCATATTCAAGATAATTACTTGCTTTCTTTTGAGAAGATAAGGTTTATGAATAGGAAACCATCTCTCCACTGCTATTGAAATGGAAGTCAAAAAAGAATAGGTCAGTGTACCAAAACACAGAGAAAGGGTTATTTTGCAAAATATCACATTATGCAGAGAAAACAGTTCAACTGCAGTAACACATGGAACTAGCATGGAACATGTAAATAGGTCAATGCAAGCTAAAACCTTAATAAAGTAATTAGACAAAGTTGTTGTTTTTCCATGAAAAGAATACAAGAACAAAATTAATAGATTTGAAGACACTCCTAACAAAAAATACAAACAAGAGATTATAAGGAAAAATACATCATTCTTCCATGCCATTCTGAAGAAAAGTCACTAATCATTATACATCTAATGAATGCTAAAGGTTCATTTCATTAAAAATTTACCATTAGCTTACATTGCTTTTATAGTTCATCCATTAATCTTAACTAGGTATTACTTAAACAATGTCTTTGGAAATGGAAGGTCTATGGGTATTGCTAAAACAAACATAGACACTACTCCAAATGTCTTTGTCTGTATTGTGTCCGTAAAATAGGTCAAGAGTCTTCCAACAATTGATACTTACAACCTTTCATCATCGCGTATCAAATTAAGTAAAAGATGCAGTTTCAATCCTAAGATTTGTCTACACAATTATACAGTAGTGACATCTGGTTTTTCTTTTCATTTTAAGACTCACAAAATACAGACAGAAATCATTCACAAAGGGATGTACCCATTTATGAACTGTTTAGTAAGAATAAGACAATTGCTGATTTGCACGTAGAAGGGTCATATCTAAAGGTTAGGAGTAATGAGAGAGAGCAATGTATTGGGAAAGAGAACTTTTTTCAGGAAACTCTTATCAAGTGTCTTTACTTGCATTTACATTTCCACTATCTATTTAAGCTTCTCTTCCAGAGATTTCTCATAAGAATTTACTTGAAACTACTCAAATTAATCTATGGATTTTGTTTATTTGTTTATAACATGATCAATTTTTGTTAAATTATCTCATTTGATCATTTGGGAAAGTTTATTAGTGCTTAATATATCTCTTATATCAACAAGTAAACATTGCTGATTTTTCCTTTTCTTGTATTGTCCCACCTTTAGGACATCATTGATCTTCATACCGATTTTCTCCACTCTGAATTTGTTCATAAATCTCAAACTTTGCATTTCCAACTTCTCCAATAATTCCTCCAATTGTTGAATAATCATTCTGATGTCTTTGAATGTCTATATTTAGATACTCTTTATTGAATAGATTTCTAGCCTTTTCAATAATGAGAGTGAAAGTCTTTTCATCAGTTAGAACAATTTTATCTTGTGTGCATTTTACAATAAACTTTTTAAGGTGATGCTCGTTTGGGAGAGAATTACTCTTCCAAGAGAACAACAATTCTTTATTTGAATAGAATAATCCTTTGCTAGTAGTTGTCATATTTGCTATGTTGGACTAAACATTCATTTCATGCATTTAGTAATCATCTAATAATTTTCCATAAACTTCAATATCCTGCTTTTTAAAGTTGACAATTTGAATTTATTGACCAGATTTGCCAACAATATCATAACAAATCAACCTGTCCCTTTCATTTAACTGATCATAGACAAGTTGAGCAAAATGTGGGTCACCATTCGCTGAACTTGGAGTATAGGAAGTTCTTTGAAAAATAAATGAATATGGAGTAACATAGTTTAACCCAAGATTGGTTTCTGTGCAGTTAAAAATGAAGATGACTTCATAATTAAGTGGTGTTGAGTCATCAGCAAACATTTTGTATTCTCTTTCTGTAGAGAATTAAAAGATTTTTTCAAGCAAATGATAAAAAAAAAACAAAAACTTCTCCATTATTTTCACTTACTAGAACCATAAGTCATAAATGTACTATTGGCACCTTCAACAGTTACATGTGGAAATTCTTGTTGAAGAGAGACTCTATAATTGAGTAAGTATGATTATAATTTATTTTAACAAGTTTAATAAATTAGTTATTTTACTCGCAATACAGATGAAGATGGTGATCCAAACCAGTTTCATAGGTAATAGAAAACTCTACTTCTCTTTTATAAAAACTATTAGTTATGGTAAAAATTGAATAGAGAAGATGAAATGCAGGACATCTAGGATAATCTAAACACAAACAAAAAACACACACACACACACACACACACACACACTCACACATAACAGATATGCTATAACATCTTTATATGTAGGTAATTCTCCAAGGTCTTTAGGATAGATTATGAGTCCATAACTTATAACACCACGTGTTAAGACTTTATTTGGCCAAATTGATGGAATGCTCAAACTGCATGTATATTTATTATCAATTCAAAAAAAAAAGAGAAAGGCAAAAATGAATTGAAGATACCTACTTGCAAATGATAGATGTATCTATTTTATAAACTTGAATAAACATATTATTTCTATTGCTGAGAGTTTGAATACGAAAATTGAAACATTTTCCCAAATGGAAATTAACAAAAAGTAAAAATACTATTTGAATATAAAAAAAATTCGCTTATCAAATTATAGATTAATCTAAAAATGAAACTTTGAGATTTTTAAATTTTCTCTATTCCCTCCACTTTCTTTAAATTGAAATGAAATCTTCAGAGAGGAAGGAAGTAAAAATCTAATCTAATCTTCTTAAATATCACTCAATTTACGGTAACACATTTTACCTCAAAGGTTTGTTTTATTCAATATATTATTATTTAACTAAAGGACAAGGTTACTGCAATTTATGCAAAGATATTAAAACAAGAAAATGTCAGGTTCAGTTATTTGAACTGCAATCAAATTTTAAAATACAAAATCAGCCTGTAATGAATAAGCTAATTACTGAAACTGAAAAACTGAAAATCAATTGGACAGTGAAACTGATCTTATCAGTGAGACTGAACAGGTCAATAATAAAGAACTTGCAAATGAAAATGAACAGAACAATGAAAATGAAACTGCAATGGATTTTCAGCAAAATGATGATCATCATGGATCTGAACATTTAACAGTCAAGGCATTTGTTAATGATAAAACAGTTCATCAATTTGGAAATAAAGAGGTATAGCACTTGTTCAATTTTTTATTATTTTAAAATTTTATTTTGACATTTAGCTTGAACTTTCATTGGAATTTCGAAATGAAAGTTTGATGGAACTTGATGATTCTTCTGAAGAAAATTCAACAAATTTGGTGAATGTTTTTTAAAGTTGTGATTGATTTTGAGGCTGCATTGTGGAAAGCTATTCAAAAGTCATTCCCAAACACTTTAATTCAAGGATGCATATATCATTTTAAAAATGCAGTATTCAAAAAATGAAATTAAATGAATTAATGGAAAATCCTAATTCTAAATTTCATATACTACTCAATAATTTTAGAAATGGAAATGTTAAAAAATTAATATTTGTTAGAAATTTAAAATTTCCATTTCTAAAATTATGTCTGGATTATATATTTAAAATTGATGGTATAACACCAATGGAGAATTTATCATGTTTACAAGAAATTTGTAGATGTAAAGGATATAATGAAAGTTATGTTAAACTTTTAAAAACAAAATTTCTATTACTATTTAAAAGTAGTAATGATCTAAGAGAATTTTGTAAACATCCACTTTGTATTATAATTGTATTTTTCAATTTATCAACAAAATTAACACAACAATATTTTCTTTTAAAAAATTCAATTCAAATATTGGACTTGAAATTAGGATTTGGTTTTAGGTAAGTCTAGATCATGGGGTAAAATAAACGGAAGTAGTTTTTTTAGGTTAGTCAGACGGAAATTTCATTACTTTCAGACTGTCCTAGGGCTAACTTGCAAAAATTTTGGGAAAAAATGAGTCAAGACTTCGTAAAAATGTTAGAACCATAGATTTTTTCCTACATTTTAACATACTAAATTCAACAATTACGAGACAACAAACTACAATAGAAACTGTTCAAATTTATCAATGAATTGGTGGCTTTATCCCAGGATTTTCCAAATCCCTAGATAATACTGTTATTTTCTTTTCAATACTCAAAATGAACACTCAAACAAACTGAAACAATATAGAGGTAGAAAAAGGGACTATATTCAATACAGAAAGCTCCAATGAGTGCTTTTTTTGTTATATGCATGCTTTCAGAGTTGGTAATATGACTTTAAATGAATTTTTCTACATTTAGATGGGGTTT